TGCTCCAATCAAAAGGCAGAGAGTGGCAGAATGATAAAAAAACAAAAACATGATCCAACTATATGTTGTTTACAAGAGACACACCTTAAACCCAAGGACACAAATAAGTTGAAAGTAAAAGGATGGAAAAAATATTCCATGCAAATAAGGACCGAAAAGAGAGCTGGGGTGGCAATTTTAATATCAGATAAAACAGACTTTCAGACAAAATCTGTCAGAAGGGATAAAGATGGACATTATACAGTGATAAAAGGGTCAATTAACAACCATAAATAAATATGCACTCAAAATCAGGGCACCTAAATATATAAAGCAAACACTGATAGAATTGAAGGTAGAGATAGTACTACAATAATAGTTGGAGACTTCAATACACCGCTTTCAATATTGGACAGAACATCTAGAAAGATCAACAAGGAAACAGAGGACCTGAATGACACTATAAACCAACTAGAATTAACAGACATATATAGAATACTCCACCCCAAAATAGCACAATATACATTCTACTCCAGTGCACATAGATCATTCTTCAGGACAGTCCACATTTTAGGTCACAAAGCAAGTCTTGATAAATTTAAAAAGACTGAAATCATACAAACTATTTTCTCTGACCATGATGGAGTAAAACTAGAAATCAGTAACAGAAAAAAACCTGGAAAATACACAAATATATGGAAATTAAACAATACACTATTAAACTACCAATGGGTCAAGGAAGAAATCAAAAGATTTTGATGAAATTAAAAGTACAACATTCCAAAACTTATGGGATGCAACAAAGGCAGTACTTGGAGGGAAACTTATAGCAATAAACGTCCACATGAAGAAAGAACTCAAATAAACAGCCTAACTCAACAACTCCAGAAACTAGAAAAAAAAGAGCAAATTAACACTAAATCTACCAGAAGATTAAGCCTAAATCTACCAGAAGAAAAGAAATAACAAAGATCAGAGCATAAATAAATAAAATTGAAAACAGAAAAACAATATAAAGAATCAATAAAGCCAGAAGTTCGTTCTTTGAAAAGATCAATAAAATTGACAAACCTTTAGCTAACTGGACAAAGAGAAAAGATGCAAATAATGAAAAAGAAAGAAAGAGGGGACATTACAAATGACCCAATAGAAATAAAGAGAATTATGACAATATTACAAACAACTGTATGGCAACAAATTGGATAAACTAGATGAAATGGACAAATTCTTAGAAGCACAGAACCTTATCAAATTGACTCAAGAGGAAATAGAGTCTCAACAGACCCACAACAAGTGAAGAGATCATATCAGTGATCAAAAACCTCCCAAAAAAAAAAAGTTCTGGACAAGATAGCTTCACTGGGGAATTCTACCAAACATTAAGAGAAGATTTGACACCAGTACTGTTTAAACTCTTCCAAAAGATAAAGAAGAAATATTCCCTAATTCATTCTATGAAGCAAACATAACCCTAATACCCAAACCAAAGACACAAGAAAGGAAAACTACAGACCAATATCTCTTATGAATATAGATGCAAAAATCTCAACAAAATACTAGCAAACAGAATCCAACAACATATTAAAAGAGTCATACACTATGACCAAGTGGGATTTATTCCAGGAATGCAGGGATGGTTCAACATTATAAAGACAATCAAGGTAATACACATCAATAGAACAAAGGAAAAGAACCACATGATCATCTCTATGGATGCAGAAAAAGCATCTGATAAAATCCAACACCCTTTCTTGGTGAAAACCCTAAAGAAGATTGGAATAGAAGGGAATTTTTTTCAATATGATTCAAGACATAAATGAAAAGCCAACATTATACTTAATGGAGAAAGACTGAGAGCTTTCCCTTGAAATTGGGAACAAGACAAGGGTGTCTGCTCTCATAATGTCTATTCAATATTGTATTAGAAATCCTAGCCAGAGAAATAAGACAAGAAAAAGAAATAAAAGGTATCCAGATTGGAAAAGAAGAACAAAAATTACTTCTACTTATGGATGATATGATCCTATATATAGAAAACCTCAAAGAGTCCACAAGAAAACTTCTAGAGCTAATAAAAGAATTTAGCAAAGTTTCAAGGTACAAGGTCAACAAACACAAATCAGTTGGGTTTCTATACACCAGCAATGAGAAATCTGAAAGGGAAATTAGGGAAACAATTCCATTTACAATAGCATCTAAGATAATAAAATACCTAGGTATAAATCTAACCAGGAACATGAAGGACTTATACAATGAAAACTATAAAACACTGCTGAAAGAGATTGAAGAAGACTTAAATGGAAAGATGTTCCATGTTCATGGATTGGAAGACTTAATATTGTTAAGATGTCAATACTACCCAAAGCGATCTATAGATTTAATGCAATCTCGATCAAAATTCCAACAGCTTTCTTTACAGAAAGAAAAAAAAAATCCTCACATTTCTATGGGATGGCAAAAGGCCTTGAATAGCTAAAACAATGTTTAAAGAGTAGAACAAACTGAGAGGACTCACACTTCCTAATTTTAAAACATGCTATACAGCTATAATAAATAAAACAGCCTGATAGTGGTATAACAATAGACACATAAACCAATGGAATAGAACTGAGCGTCCAGAAATAAATCCACATATCTATGGTCAATTGATTTTTGACAAGGGTGCTAAATCCATTTGATGGGGAAGAAGAGTTTCTTCAATACATGGTATGGAAAATTGGATTTCCACATGCAGAAAAATGAAACAGGATCCATGTCTCACGGCATAAAAAAAAAAAAACAAATGCAAAATGGATTAAGGACTTACTTAAATGTGCAAACTCAAACCATAAAATTCTTACAAGCAGGGGTAATGCTGTCAGGCCTAGCTTTCAACAGTGGACTATCTAATATAATAACAAAAACATGAACAGGAAAAGACAAATAAAGGGGACCTCATAAAAATTAAAAATTTTTGTTCATCAAAAGACTACCAAAAAAGTGAAAAGATAAGCTACCAACTGGGAGAGTATCTTTGAAAACCATATATCCAACAAGAATCTAATAACCAACGTATATATAAAACTTCTACAGCTTAACAACAAAAATACAAACCAATCCTAAAATAGGCAAAGGACTTGAATAGACATTTCACCAAAGAGGGCATTCAAGTGGCCACCAAACACAAGAAAAGATGCTCAGTGTCATCAGCCATCAGAAAGATGCAAATCAAAACCACAATGAGATACGGTTTCACTCTCGCTAGGATGGCTAAGATAAAAAAAAAAAAATCTTGGCAAGTATGTGGGGAAATCAGAACCCTTATCCATTGCTTGTTGGAATGCAAAATGCTACAGCCATTCTGGAAAAGTATGCTGGTTCCTCAAATAGCTAAAAATAGAACTGCCATTTAAAAAAACAAAACATTACCACTGAGTCAATTCCAACTCATAGTGACCCTACAGGACAGAGTAGAACTGCCCCATAAGGTTTCCAGGGAACAGCTGGTAGATTCAAACTACTGACCTTTTGGTTATAAGCTCTTAACCACTGCACCACCAGAGCTCCAGAACTACCGTATTACCCAGCAATCCCACTCCTAAGTATATACCCAGAAGACTTGAAAGCAAAGACTCAAAAAGAGACTTGTACACCAATGTTCATTGGAGCAGTATTCACCATAGCCAAAAGATGGAAGCAACCTAAATGCCATCAACAGATGTGTTGCAGTTTAGGGCGGTGAAATGAACAAAAAAGACAGACACACACAAAGACAAACAAGACTGCAGCCCTGAGGACTTGCAGTGGTTTATTTTTAAGGTCTCCGCCTGGGCATTATTCCAAATATCTGGTCAACATAAGTTGTTTTTCTCCTTCAAAGCATATCAAGACTTTTGTAAGTATCCAAACTTATCTTTAAGGCTCACAGATCAGCAAGTTCTGAGAGACTCGGTGTTCCCTCCCGTTTGCAGGTGGGAATGGCACGTCTGCGTGCAGGACGTGCGGTACGGATCCCGGAGACCTTGAAATCAGCTCGGGAGTGTCCGCGTGCAGATCATTCCCAGGCTGATAATTTCCCACACAGATGAATGGATAAACAAAATGTGATACATTCATACAGTGGAATACTACTCAGCAAGCAGGAGAAATTAAGTCTTGATTCATGCTACAGTATGGATACATGTCTTCAGGTATGGAGCTTGAAGACATTATGCTGAGCAAAAGAACCCAAACACAAAAGGACAAATACTGTATGAGGTCACTTATCTAAAAAGACAAGAAAAGACAAATTTATAGAAACCAATGTTTTATTAGTGGTTACCAATGGCAGGAGGGAGGGGAGAAAGCAGCTTTAACAGTGATGGAAAAATCGCATTAATGGTAGGGTTGCACAGCCAATTATTGTAATTGCTGTAAGTTGTACACCTGTAAAAAGTTGAATTAGTAAAAGTCGTGTGATATATTTACGACAGAAAAAAAGCGAGTAGCTGCTGAGGCTGCTTATGTACAACCAAACATCTCACGGGATTTGGTTCTGTGGTTTGGATGGTTAGGGTCATGGTTTCATGAGACATCCCAGTTAAGTGGCCTAATAATGTGTTTAGTGCTTCTGTTCTACCTCCTAGTTCACTGTGTAGTGCCGGAGGTCTTAAAAGCTTGCATGCAGCTGTCCAAGGCACAACCACTGGTCTCTATTCACCTGGAACAACAGAGAAAGGTAAATCAGGAATAGGAGGAGAATATAGAATGGGTGGCTAATTGCCTCCATGAACAACTGCCTCATTTGCCTCAAGACTGAAACTGGATGGTGTCTGGCTACCATTACTGAACATTTTGATCAAAGATTCCATAGAAGAATCCTGATCAAAAGTGGGAAAATGGAGAACAGAATTTCAAATTCTCATGGACTCTACACTTTCTGGAGCCATGGAGGGTGGATGAAACCCTGAAACTACTACCCTGAGATAATCTTTAAACCTTAAACCAAAAATATCCCTTGAAGTCATCTTAAAACTGAACAATAGTTTAGCCTAACTAGTAAAAAAGATCTGCCTTGAGTATTATGCTCTTTCAAAAACTATCTATATGGGGTGAAATTGAAAACAGCAACTCAAAAGATTAGACAGGAACCTTAGGGGGCAGTGAGTTTATGTTATTGAGGGAGGAACAAATTCAGAAAAAGGGGTAAGAATGGTTGCACAACCCGAACAATGTAATCAATGTCACTAAACTTACATGCAGAAACCTGAATTGGTGTATGTTTTGCTGTGTATATTCTCAACAAAATAAATAAAATTTAGAAAAAAAAACTGCTTTGGCTATTTGGGGTCTTGTCTTTCCATATAACACTGAGGATTAGATTTTCCATCTCTGTATCTAGTCACTTTAAAGCAAGTCTTCACACAGTCTTTTATAAGATGAAAAATATGATTCCTTCTCCATGTTTTTCTGAGTTTATATGATCGTTTAATTTAGCTATGTGTGTGTGGTTTTTTTTTTCCCCCAGCTGTAATCAACCCCTAGAAAACTGCCGAGGTAGAATTGGAGAAGTTTCTCTACAGAGGATTAAAGAAGCTGAGGAATCCTAGTCAGAGAAAAGTTTTAAGGGTCATCTGGGAAGTCACACAGCTATACTGTCATCCAGATGCCACAGAAGGAAAAAAAAAAAAAATAGTGATTTAAAAAAGTATGAATGCTGGCACTTGGAACTACATGAAGAAACTTTAAAAAAAAAAAAAAAATGCCCACCTGTATGTGTATCCTTACCTCTTTAAATAGAAACTATTTCATAACTTAAGCCTTCATTTTTTCCATAAAGACTTACGTACCTCAAGGGTAGGATAATGCTGTAGAACAAGGCTTTTAACAAATTTTTTCCAACCTGTCCTCAACTGACAAACTCCATGGGCACTGGATAGCAGTGAATGTATAACAGGGACAAGGCCCTTTGACCTCTGAAACAACTCTCTTATCCTCAAATAAGGAACCAATGACAAATTATAATAAGCTTGGCTGGGAACTCTGAAAAAAACTGCTGTTTCCATTTCTTTTTATTTTCTATGTCTCCTCTGCCTTCTCATTCTTGGTTTAAATATTCCTGAGATAACAATGCAGAGGAAACTAACAAAGATGTGGCTGATGGTTTTCCTAAGTGAACAGTGATCACTGGGTCTCTCTCCTGGATGAATTTTCAGATGTAGTCAGACTCTATGTGGCTCAATTTCTAATATGACCCTTAGATGACAAGTAATGATCTATGACAGAATGCTTCCTCACAGGGATGACATTTGTGAGCTTTCCCTTTGGCATGAATGATCAGATGCTGAATAAGAAGTTTCCTCTGGCCAAAGATTTTCCATCCCCAATAGAAGTCCTTGGATGTTGACTGAGGTTTGCCCACTTGTGAAAGGTCTTCCCACATCTGTCACACTGATAGGGCTTCTCCCAGTATGAATCCTTTGGTGCTGAGTGAGGTGTGACTTGCGGTTGAAGGCCTTCCCACACTCACTGCACTCATAGGGCTTCTCTCCAGTGTGGATGCTGTAGTGTCGAAATAACGCTGGCCGATCACGAAAGGCTTTCCCACATTCCTTGCACTCAAAGGGTTTTTCTCCTGTGTGGCTCCTCTTATGCAAGACAAAAGTGGAGAGATGAGCAAAGGTCTTTCCACACTCACTGCACTCATAGGGCTTCTCCCCAGTGTGAATCCGCTGGTGCTGCGTAAGGTGTGCCCTTTGGTTGAAGGCCTTCCCACACTCACTGCACTCATAGGGTTTCTCCCCAGTGTGAATCCGCTGGTGCTGTGCAAGGTGTGACCTGTAGTTGAAGGCCTTCCCACACTCAACGCACTCATAGTGTTTCTTCTCAGCGTGAATCCGCTGGTGCCGTGTAAGTTCTGACCTGTGGTTGAAGGCCTTCCCACACTCAATGCACTCATAGGGCTTCCCTCCAGTGTGGATGCTGTAGTGTCGAATGAAGCCTGGCCGATCACGAAAGGCCTTCCCACACTCCTTGCACTCAAAAGGTTTTTCCCCTGTGTGGCTCCTCTTGTGCAAGACAAAAGTGGAGTGGTGAGTGAAGGCCCTTCCACATTCACTGCACTCATAGGGCTTCTCCCCAGTGTGAATCCGCTGGTGCTGCGTAAGGTGTGCCCTTTGGTTGAAGGCCTTCCCACACTCTGTGCACTCATAGGGCTTCTCCCCGGTGTGGATGATGTGGTGTTGAAGGAGGGTTGTGCTCTTGCTAAAAGTTTTCCCACACTCTGTGCACTCAAAGGGCTTCAGACCAGAGTGAATCTGCTCATGTTGCGTAAGGAGGTGTCTCTTGTTAAACACTTTCCCGCATTCCTTGCAAATATAGGGATTTGTCTCTTCATGACTCATGGCATTTTTAGCAGGTCCATGTGAGTCACTTTCATGGTGAGCATCTCCTGGAATGACTGGTTCCTGTAGTATCCTTGAACACGCACCATCATCTGTCCCCAGACCATCATATTTAGGACTTATCTTCCCAGGCAGCTGCTCCTTCTGGGGGTCTATCCCTGGTCTCAAGTATTCATTCGGCATTTCTGCTGGCCCTTCCTGATCCTTGTCTCACCACAGATGGGAGTCCCTGGAGGCTCCCTGTGTCAGTTGCCCCTAGACTGAGGCTCCTTCAGAGAAGATTGGCTCAAGAGCAGTTGGCTGTGGTCTCAAGTTTTGCTTTGTCCCCTGAACTGAAAGACACCAAACATAGAAAACATCCTATTAGTAATGCCAACACAGAACAAACAAAACCACCACTTCAGTGAGAAAATAAAAATGAAAATAGTGCCTTTGTGCCTGCTGTGTTTTGACATCTCTGAATCCCGGGTTTGATGGTTTTTTCTTTCCTGGTCCTTGCCTCCTTCCCGCCTTGGAAGGGGGACCACGGGGAGAGGATGAGACAGGGAAGAGCCTCAGACCAAGGGGTGGGTGGACACAGTGGTAATGACAGTGTGTGTGGTGAGTCTGTTCTCAGCGAGAACATCTCATAATTTTATAAGAGCACAATGAAGAGGCACTTAATATAGCTCAGATGGGAGACAGGAGATCATGGGACACTTCCCAGAAGAGGTGTCCCGTAAGGTGTGACCTAATGGAGAGGGATGAGTTGCCAGATAAGAGTGGGAAGGGTATTGCAGCCTTAGAAGGCAGAATGTACAAAGGCACAAATTCTTCAGAGAACCCAAGGAATGGCTGTGCAGGAAAGGAGGGTGCTGCTGAGAAAGCAGAGACAGGCATGGCAGAGGAGAGGCTGATTCCCATGGTTCTGACAGTAGGGATGTCGACAGCCACTCCCAGGACAGGACTTCTAAGGCAGAACTGAACAGGATCTGGATGGACATATTGAGTCCAGTGTGCCTGAGAAACACTAGGTGAAGACTAGCAAAATAGACATCATCTAGATAGAGAAAATTATAACACGTTGCTTGAAGACATTAAAGAATATCTATATAAATGAAGAAGATAATAATATAAAGATGATGATTCTACCCAAATCAATATATAAACTCAATACAACTTCATGTAAAATCCCAACTGGGTTTATCCTGGAACACAGTAAGCTGATTCTAGAATTTACATGAAAGAGAACAGGGCCAAAAATATCTCAGAGGAAGAATTCAGAGGGGGACTTACAGTGTCAGGTAATAGAATTATGATGAAATTATGGACATCAAAGCATTGTGGTACTGGCACAGAGCTAAAACAAACTAGCAATGAAAAACAAGAGCGACCTCAGTAAGACTCACACACATGGAGCTCTGATATACGGCAAAGCAGGCAGAGCAGCTCAGTGGTGCAAAATGACCTACTCCTTCCAGAAGGTATTTTCTAATTAATCCAAGTCAGTGGATCTCAATCTGTCTGTGCATCAAAACCACCTGAGGCTGTCGGGTTCCAATGACCAACTGAAACCAAATCTCTGATGGGGAGGCTTAGAAAGCAGTAGATCTGCAGACTCCTAAGATGATTTTGACACTCAGGGAGGGTGAGAAGCACTGGTCTCCTCAACTTGCAAATTGCATCACCTGAAGCAACTTGCGTGAGAGAACTGGCTGAAGGACCCAAACCAAGGAGAGAAACTAAAGAAACAGGTAACTGGGTTGTCATCCACCAACCTGGAAGCCAGCTCCACCCCTGGCCTTCTCATTAGGTGAAATAATAAATTTCCTTTAGGATGAAGCCAGTTTGAGCTGGTCATCTGTTAGATGCAGTCAGACACATATTGACAGAAGCGGGGGTAAAAGACTCTAGGACTGTATCAAGAAGTCAATGGCAGAGGCACCAGGACCAAAAGGATGCTCGACTGGTAGAACCTGAACTAAGTTCAGTAAAAACATTTATTTAGGAAACGCTGAATTTCTGTTTATGGTAATGGAAACCTGGCAACAAATATTTGTGATGGTTGCACAACACAACTGATATAACTGATATTATTAAAGAGTATAAGTGAAAAACATTAAATAGGCAAATAGTATATGAATTTTTAAAACGATAAAAAAAGTATCTCCAGACATTGCCAACTATCCCCTGGGGTGGGGGCACTATCATCTCAGTTGAGAACAACTGGTTTAGAATAATGTAATAGGGTGATGGGAGAAAGAGAGTGTCACAGGGGAAAGGCTTACATTAGCTGTGGTGACCAGACTACTGCTGGGTAAGAAGGTGCCAGGCTGTGTGAAATGCTGAAATGGTAGAAAGCACACACTAGGCAGCAAGAACAGCAAATGCAAAGGCCCCAAGCGGACATCCATTTGGGGAAACTGCAGGAACCCAGCACGGCCAGAGCAGCGTGAGCTCGGTGGGAGAGCAGTGTGAAATGTGCCTAAGGAGGTTGGCAAAGCAAGATGGAGGACTTTTTTGTTTAAAAAACTTCTTTATAAAATATGTATTGCTTTTTTTCCAGCCTTACTTTATCTCTTCTCATTGAAAAAGAAGATAATTCCAATTCTCTAGAAATAGGCATGTCTTAATCTAAAAAGGAAGGGGCACTGCAGCAGAGCTGGTGGCAACAGGCCCTGAGGGGCCCTACAGAGAATTGGTGATGCTGGCAAAAAACTGCTGCTAGGAATGCAGCTAACAGAGCTAAACAAAACTGTTACACTAACTATAAGTTGGATCTGTTGGCAGTAGAGAGACTATGGCAGGAAGCCCGAAGGCCGAGAGGCATATCCTAAAGGGGCTCAGAGGAGGCCGGCATGGCTGACAGTGGGCATGCACAGCAGAGGGAAGGGCCTGGTTGCTTGCACAGCCAAGAGGAGCTGAGGGAGCTGTCCTGCACTGAAGGGAGGGATGTGATCTCATTGGGGGAGCCTTCCAGGCTTTGCCTACATGTATCCTGATCCTGACTTGGAGCCTGTTGATCCTGATTGCGAGTCGTACCTTTTTACTTCCTTAAAAAAATCACTTAACTTTTTAAGTATGGTCTGTGAGTTTTGTGTACCATTGCAATGAAGTACCAAACACAGCAGAAGTAGAGTGCTGTGGGGAGGATGGCTGGTGTCAGAATTGGTAAAAAGGTTGGAAGGTGAAGGTATGTCTGACCTGTACCTCAAAGGAATCAGCTTTGGGCTGATCCTTATGGTCATTATCCCCGCAAAAGTAAGACAGGTTCTGATGCTCTTACTAGTACCATTTCACACTGAGTTTCAAGAAATGCCCTAGATTTCTAACCCTGTCTTTCCCCCAAATAGAATGGTCTATATGTTGATTATGACATTACAGCAGAGAATTGTCTAAGTTAGGATTTCTCAATCTCCACACTCTTGACATTTTGAACTATTTTATTATTTGTTCAGGGGGCTGTCCTGAGCATTGGAGCACGTTGAACAGCACCCTGGTCTCTTCCCACTAGATGCCAATAGCATCCTCTTCAGGTGTGAAAATAAAAAATATGTTCATAGTGAAGAGGTGAGGCCTTACCCAATGAGAAGAGGAGCCTGCAAGTCTCCAGCATCACCTCCAAGTACAAAGGTCCTCTGGGTCAGTTCCAGCTGCCCCTACTTCTCCCAAGTGAAGGTCAGAGCCACTTCCTCGAAGGTCACAGACCCCTGGCAAGTTAAAGAGAGGCAGTAGTGTTGGTCTTGAGCCTGCTGGATGAGACAAGAGACTGTCTCTATGTCAATGATCAAGGTGCAGAGAGACTCAAGGCCCAAATCACCCAGTACTGCCTGAGGGCCTAGCTTGGTGCTGGGAAGGCGAGGTTGCAATAAGTTGGAATCAACTCGACAGCACACAACAGCACTGTAGGAGAGAAGAGCATCCTATATGGGTAGTCCTTAGAGAATAGGACAGTAAGCGCTGTGAGATGTCACAGGAAAAGGATGATGATAGTAACAACAATACCAATCACAGTAACGATGGTGGCAACTAAGCCTGACTAGTTATCACTGTTTTCTTTCACAGTGCTGTTAGATGGGTTCAAACTGCCAACCTTTGGGTTAGCAGACAAGCACAAACTGCGTGCACCACACAGGGACCCCGAAATAGGAAAGGTCTCTTTAAAGAGGTGACACCTGAGCAGTGGCCAGAAGGACACAAGGGGAGGCCCTGCAGGGATCTGGGGACAGTGTCTGAGGCAGAGGAAAATGCAAGGACAAAGACTGGGAGATGGAAGCAAACCAAACATGGTTGGTGGGTCTGGTGAGCAGTCAACAAGGGAAGAATGCTGGGGACAAGGTCGTAGGTGGTCTGTCTGGGCAGTTGGGTAGGGACTTGCATGCCATGGTGGGGGGTTGGATTCATTCTAAGTGTCATGGGAGCCCCTAAAGAGAGCATCATTCATACCACAACCCCTGAGTGCACCTGTCAGAGGGCTGACACTCCTCTGTTGTTGTCAGGTGTCGTCAAGTCATTTCTGACTCAGCGACCCAATGTAACTGAATAAAACTGCCCAGTGGAGTTTTCTAGGCTGTAATCTATATGGGAGCTTATCACCAGGTCTTTCTCCCGGGAAGCGGATGGGTGGTATCGAACCGCAGACCTGTCCGTCAGCAGTCGAGCGTTTGACCATTGCTTAACTAGAGCTCCCTGACACTCCTCCGGGCCTTGGGATAAAGCAAATGACAAGCCAGCAGCACTCGCTGTGATGAAGCAGCTGCAAAGAGAAATTCTGGCCTTTCTCGGCTTCCGGCTGGCCCATGGGTCCTCTCTGACCTAGCAGAGAAGCAGCAATTCCAAATCCATCCTCCACTCACCTGCGCCCGGTCCCTCAGCGCCGCCGCCATTCTGGGACCTTGTGGACAAAGGGGCAATGGAGAGGCTGGCGACCGGGA